GTTGGCGCCCTTCTTAGTGTCAACACGTGAGGAAATGGTCCTGAAGAGAGACGGTGTTGCCAAGTGGCTCTGGGTGACAGCTCAGCCCATGCTGTTGGGAAAAAATACTGTGGGGGGGTTTAGTTCTATCCCAGAAAATTTTCTTTTAAAAGAGAGTCGGGCAGCCTCCAGGTTCTCTCTGCTTCTCTGCCATAGGCATTTGATTTCCTAAAAGCGCTCAGGAAGGTGGTCGTGCAGTCGCGGAGGCATCCTGGGTCCTTGCTGGTCCCCTCAACTCGTGACTTGGTAGTTCTCAAATTCAGGGTGAAAAAGTTCTGAAGTCCACAGAGGATGAGGAAAGTGACTGTGTGATTTGAAATAGACCACTGAAAACCCTTAAAAGGAGAAGAGGAAAACATGTCAGTTTGTTTAAAATCCCATATCTAATTTTTCTACTGATTGAATTCTGTAACTCTAAGATCTGATGAAATCTGTCTTTCATCACCGTTTTGTCCTTTGATTATATTAGGAAGTTGACTAAATCATAAAAAATGTTTCAAAAACTGTAAATAAACAGAAGCAACTTTGACTAGTTTCAGATCTTACTAACTTCTTGGCGCAAAGTCAGACTTTGAAAGCTGCCTGAGGTGAGTACGCAGAGCCAACAATCCTCACGCCTGACCAGAGCTGGGTCCTGCAAAATGGACCCACTCACTCACAGCATCCCAGCAAGCATACATATCTTGAAAGGCTGCCCAGTAAACATGTTTTTTTTTTTTAACCAAAGTCTGTGCACTTTTCAATTTGTTTTTATAACAGAGGTCAGTAGCCGCTGAAACCTAGCTGAGCTCTGAGGTGCGGTTAGAAGGTAAGAGGTGAGTGTCCATGTGCTTTCTGGTTGGTGAATTATTGTGATTTGCTTTCTGCACACTTGGCACAAAGTGGAGAATCAAAATAATTATCCAGATAACCTGGGCCATCACCTTTCCCAGTAAAGCTCCTTTATGCTGAAGCTACAGATAGATTGAGATGAAAAGAAAGGTTGGGCAAGTGGCATTACTTGTGGGACTTCGAGGACCTGTGGCAGAATGAATGCACACAGGATTTTAGAAGCCATGTGAATATTGGCTCTTTGAGAACAGCCAATAGGGACTGATCAGAAACTCCAGGTTGGGTTTGGTGGCCATTCCTAGGTATATGTAATCACTGGCAAGCCCTAGACCTGAATTTCTAACCACTTGTAAAATGTAACATCCACTTCTCCATGCCCAGTCTGTGTCGAAAGCCACACTGCAGGCAGATCCTGTCATTCTCTGTGGACAGGGCCTCAGGCTGCTGCCTTGCAGGGAAGCCCTCAAAGGAAGGGGACACCCAGATGCCCTTCTCACTTAGGGGAGGGGAGTCTTTTCTGCTCCTCGGAGTGTGAGGAGGATTCCTGTTTGAACAGAGAGGTTCCAATGACCTCTAGAATCTTAGAGTAGTTGCCAAGCTTTCTGTCAGTGAGATTTAAAAGCCGTTTACTTGTGTTTATTTTATATTTAATGAGTTGGTTAATGCCAAAGTCAAAGCTCATGTCCCATTTATTTTGGATACTGAACATTTGCACACAATTGCCCTTGAAATATAGGGTCAGGAATGCAGGCCGTCACAGACCCTCAGAAAGATCTCCTTACAACAGCGGGTGTGGGACATTCACCGTGAGGCCAGAGCCCCCACTCTCAGTGGTCGCTGCATTCTGCATGGCAGCTTCATGCTGTGACCACAGTGAAGAGTTTCAAACCCAGAGCCAGAGGTCTTGGAAAGGACGCCATGGGGAAGACTTGGTGTGTGTTGGGGTGGGGGGTGGGGGAAGGAGAGGCTGCCTTAAAGACTTGCTTTCGTGGCAATTCCACAGAAAAAGCTTGAAACCGGCAACCAGGAGATCAGAGCAGCAACTTACATACACAAGGGCAGAAAGAAGTCAGGGTGGGCCCCACGGGAATCAGGCAGTTGTCTGATAATGCAATAACCATGAGAAATGCTTTGTTCTCTTTCTGCCCTCACTGATGATGGGGCAAGGGAGGAGATGAGCTTGCAGGAGGGATGCCAATCTGGTGAAAGTATGTGTTCAGGTCTGGAGAGCTAGACTAGCCAAATGTGACATTGGGAAACAATCTAGGAGGCTGTCACCAGCAGTGGTGGCAGGCTGGAGCTCCAGGCAAGTGCTCCTGGAACTCGAGGTGTGTGACAGGTGAAAGCAATCCATGATGGCAGAGAACAGATCTGTTTGAGTCCCTGGAAGGTGCAGTGTGTCTCTCAGACCAGACCACACCCTAACCCTGCACTTCCCCAAGTTTTATTGGTTTATGGAATTCTGACAGTTTGCCTCGAGGGATGCTCCTAAAAAAGAATTCCACCAACCAATAAGTTTGGGAAGTCCTGCATGCCTCACTCCTCTTCAAAGCCAGCACAGCCCTTTGAAGGTTCTGGGTAGACTGGCATGCAGACCTCTGTTCGTGTTGAATACCACCCTTCCCGCGGGTCTGTTTTTGACCAACTTTTGGGTAACACTGTTTTGATCTCTAGATGGCATGCCATCCAGGGGCAAGGAATCCCAGTTAGCAGGAGTGGTGCATTTGTGGGAAGACTGGAGAAGTTAAGGGTGCCCTGTGCCCCAGGGAGGAGGCCTCTCTCAGATGCTATCTTGTCTTCTCCCTCATCCCTTCAGCTGGGCATAAGGATGGGACGGGGGCTTGAAAGGTTAAAGGAGGCATACGGAGGTGTGTTAGACCGGCTCTCCTGCTGCAGGCCTTAGGGAGAAGTGTTCCCTTTCCTCAGGCTCATTTCCCAGGCACGCATTCATGAATGGGTCGGGTGGGCCAAGGTGACTCTCTCTAGTCCTGGATGTACAGCAATGCCACGTGATGAAAGTGCTGCAGGACGCTTCATGCATCAGGAAAGGACACCCTCTTTCTGTCTGCTGGCTTGACCTTTCTACCGCAACTCCCATCCCATGAAGCAGAATTACCCCAGGGTCCTACTGCCAACCATACATACCTATGCACTTTATACTGTGCTCTCATATCAGCAAAAACAGACATTGTTTCTGTCACTTTCTTACTTTCTTAGAGATGGACGAGTGAGCGACAGTATCCAAAGTTACCCAGTTTCAAACAAGGGGAAGAATCTGGCTCAGTACCACCACCGCTCTGGGAGCTGGGGTAATAAAAATGTTCCCGAGGTGTCTCTTTGCTCTGACCGTACTCAGAGGAAGAGGCCCAGGCTGCAGCTTTGACTATAACCCTGCTCTCCCTCAAAACACAGCTGATGAGGGCCGGGGGTGGGGACCTGCTCCCAGGCTCTGTGCCCAGCTAAGAGAGGGGACCTGCCTTAATCACTTTAGTGGTCTCTGGACAGGCTATAGGTGTGTTAAGTAACAAACGGGGCTGAGAAGTGACTTACCATCCAACTTCTTCCAAGGCCATTTTTGATGGGTGGGTCAAGTTCACTCACATTTGGCTATTGACCAATCTGATGCATTCACCCTGGGTGGTCCCCAGTCACGCTCTCTCACCTTCACAGAGCATTCTAGATGGCTCACTTCACACATCCCTGGTGAAACCCACAGCCCCTGGTCCTTTCTGTCCGTTCTTCTCCCTTACGCTCCTACCACTCCCTGCTCTATGTCTTCAATGGTCCCATCTCCAGTCCTGGTGGAGCCCTAGCGGATCTAAGTCAAGTTTAACTTCTCTCTCCTTCTTTAGAGTTTGCTGGGAGTACTGTAAATAAAGTATTGTTGCCATAATTATTTTTGACTGATATTTTTACACCTAATAAAGTCTCAGAGAGTTTGAGTTTACTTGGTCTGGGGAGGAGCACCTTCCAGATGACTTGCTCAGCAATTAAAGCAGCTTGTTAGCTGGGGGCCCAGGATGGCCGGGGACAGCTGGAGAGCTCTTCTTTGCAAGCAGCTCTGGTTAACATCAACGGGGAAAGCTCTTTGTAAACACATGAATAATTGATTGTCCAGCGCTCACACAGCTACCGCGGATCTGAGCCCGTATGACTCATCTGCGAGCCATTCCTGTCGTCTGGATGCCATAACATTGGAGGAATGATGATCGTTTCTTGGAGGTTCTTCTGTGGCCAGAGTTGCCAAGACCAAGGCTGTAATGGTTTGTTATGATGACCTTTGTTATTCCATTAGGCTCAATTGCTTTAAAAAATGATGTGTGCATACTTTAGGAACGTTTTTACCCTTTACGTTGACCTGACATCATAGTTTATATTACAAAATATATTAATGACAGAGGAGTGTTTTCATGTCCCAGGGACAAATTTTAACAACCATAATCTGCCCTTAGTCATCATAAATATAAATGTATTGGTCAAACAGATCTCGTTAATGTGGCCAAGATAAATGCAAGTCTATATTTTAAGGCAGTTGAAGTCCTAGTGAATATATTTGGAGCTTTTTGTGGGGCTGAGAGGTCTTGTGTATGTGTTATCAAAAGGCTGAGAAAATTAACATGTTCCCCCCTCTGGTTTTGAGTTGGACAGATATAAACGTCTTGGGGATGTCTAGTAAGATTGTTCACATAGTTTCTGGACACCCTTAATG